TTTTTTTGTACACTAACTTCTAATTCATTCCAGCTCCTTTAGCTGCAGATAATAAAATAATAATATGCTATTGTAAAAACAAAGCGATTGCACTAGTCTTTTAGCTTTTTTTTGTACAATGAAAGTTTTGCTTCTAACTTCTTTCTCTTTGGAGTGTTACAAGCTCTTGGTGCATAAAGAAGATCTGTAAAGTTGCAAAGACTAAAGTCTCACATCCAAAGAGATATTCTTTATAAAAGTTAAGACTTGTCCATGCCCAACATTGCATTACACCAAATACACAAAATAATGTTCTTTTTAGCAACATCATATGACCCCTTTAAACATTCTAATATTCTGTATAATTTTGGCGCATCAGGGAGCTGCTCTCAGGATGCGGTGTATTTAAATATTTTTGAATGAGCGTTTGCGCGGTTTACTTTCACTTTCGATTTCGTGATCACATGCACTCAGTGTAAAGGGAGCACATCTTACAAGATCAGATTTTTGTCAATGAGCTCAAGATCTGTTGAGCAGCAAATACCCCAGCATGGTCTTGTCAGTCATCTCTCTTTATTCTCGACCTGTGATCAGTCAAAGCTGACTCCTGTAGCTCTTGTTGGATGCAGGGTTGCCAAGTCCACGTTTTTTCCACAGAATTGGGCTACTTTTAAACTGTTGCCATAGGTTGATTTTCCCAACTGGGTTAAATGTTTGAAATATTGCATAAATTGCATTTGACTGAAATGCTTGTATTGAAAACACCTATGATAAAACTTTCATTGACTTCTACATTAACTGTTCTCTCCTGGTGGAATGACCTGCCCAGCTCAATCCAAGCAGCTGAGTCCTTAATATTTTCAAGAAACGGCTGAAAACACATCTCTTTCATCTTCATTTGACCCTCTAACTCTAGCACTCTCTAGTCTAATGCTACTTCTAATTTTATCTCCTTGGTTTTTTAATTAAAAAAACATGACCCTCTAACATTTGCACTCTCTATTCTATTTCTATTCTAATGGCCAATCCATAATTTTTGGGGGGATTTTTTAATTTATTTATTTATTTTTTAATAAGTATCGGTTCAGGCACCATTTAGGCACAGGAACCATTTTAAAAGTATCTATTTGGCACCGGTATCGAAAAAAAAAACGATACCCAACCCTACTTAAGATGTTGCATGTTTAATTCAGCAAACAGTATCTAGATCATCTTAATAGTTATTTTTGTATTATATATTTTTGTGTAATAACGTTTTAATTTCGGAAGAGATATCAAATTTCCAAATTACCAGATGTTAAAAATCCCTTCCAGTTTAATGGGCACACTGAAATTTGAATTGTTTTTTTTGGATACCAGTGCTTCCCACAGGTTTAAAATATACTTGCAGTGGTAGCTGGGTGGAAATCCTCTGCAAAAATATTACCCACGGCACAAAAATGGTCTACTACATGTGACAAACAACAAATAATGTGTGACTTTTAACAATAATTTTATTTATTGAAGTTAATTTTGATGCAGATTATGCTGTGTTTGGGGGAATACAAAATACTTTTTAATCCATTTACCACAAAATTCCTCAACTACACCACTAGCATGCATTTGAAATATTATAAAAATAAACACTTTAATGATCAAAATTAAATATTTAATTTGTTTCTGGATTTGATTTACTGTAGGAGTTAGGGTCAGAATCCTGTCATCTGCTGGTTACAGAAAAATACAGGTTTAGGTTTAGAAAAAAAAAAGTACAATTAACATATGTTCAGCAGAAACCCATAGAGATCCATTCATTTTTCTGGATGTGGCTAACTGCTCTTATAAATGCAATGTGGAACAAACATGATCACACAAACGCACGTGCACACACAGACACACACTCAAACCTGGTATTTGCGTCTCTGTGGGACTCTGTAGCGCATGTGGGATTGTAAACGGTTCTTGCGCACACCTAACGAGCAGGTATGAAATGCTCTTCACGATACATTTTTTGCACGCTCAACTTAGTTATTTAAAATCTAGACGCGTGACAAGCGCACTCAAACAGAGATTGAAAGCTCAGCCAAGATGGACTAACAGCTGTTAATAGATGTACAGGTTTTGTTTTTTTTCTCATCTCCATAAATATATCTAGTAGTAGAGTTAATGCATGCGCTGGAAATCCATTTATCCTTAGCAAAGTCCCTATTAGACAAGTAATTTCACTTTGCAGACATCTTTGAAATGCCTCTTGGGCATGCAAGTGCAGCTCCTATCTCTTTGAATGGGGAAACATCGAATTCTCCAAAACTGTTCACCAAACTTACGATTCAATTTCATATTTGAAATCACCAATAAAATCTGACAACAACGGTCTCATAAATGTTGTTTCTTTTGCTCAAATAGCATTAAAAAAAGCTTACATATTTATTAGCGGCCATATTGAGCATTGCATTTTTCCCTATTCAAAACGATACAAGTGACGAGTCTTGGGTATTCTATAGTCTTTGTCCTTAACTGAAACTTCTTCGTCTTCATTGAGAACGCGGCTCATGCTTATTCCATGCAGCCTGCTGTTGCCACCAATAAAATCTGACAACAACGGTCTCATAAATGTTGTTTCTTTTGCTCAAATAGCATTAAAAAAAGCTTACTTATTTATTAGCGGCCATATTGAGCATTGCATTTTTCCCTATTCAAAACGATACAAGTATTCTATAGTCTTTGTCCTTAACTGAAACTTCTTTGTCTTCATTGAGAACGCGGCTCATGCTTATTCCATGCAGCCTGCTGTTGTTGAATACTGCATATTTCGCAAAATGCAGTAGGTCAGTGATTATCCCGGGGTACCACTGCTCTGCACATTTTGTGTATCCCTTATTTGACGCACCAGATTCAGATCATCAGCTCATTAGGAGGGAGATCCATTAACTGAAACAAGGGCGTCAGATAAGGCCCGTGACACACTAGGCGATTTTCAAATCTTAACCGATTTCAAAACTGTGGGAGACCACAGACATAATGACAGTTTCAACTGATTTTTAGCATTACAATCCTCTGAACGCACACACTAGATGATTCGACCAGAGTCCCATAGACACACGAGACGTGCAGTTGCTGCGTTATTCATTCAAAATATTAGAGAAATATAGAAGCAATGCATAAATACATGATGCTGTTTTGTTCATAATTGTTTATGCAATATACACAATTTTATTTAGATTTTTATGAGTTAACTTAGACGTAATGCACGTTTTTATAGAGTTACTTCCTTGCATTGACAATTTAATGCATTGTAATTGCATTGTTTGTCTCAATAAATTGTGTTAATTATAAATACAGTGGTTAAATTAAAAAAACAAATTATATTGCTTTTTGTTTTAAAAAAGGTTATAAAAAATTTAAATAATTATCGATACCGAACGATATGAAACATTATATCGTTGATACATTTTTTTAGCTATATCGCCCAGCCATAGTTTGGGGGTGCAAATCGGGCTTAAAATCGACCTTAAAATCTTCAAGTGTGTAGCCAGTCTGAAGCCAGGCTCACACTACAGGAGTTTTAGGCCGATTTATCCCAGATTTCCCCCAAAACCATAAGGACAAAGAGAAGCACTGGGGTGAAATCGCTAGCACGCTAGTTAAAGGGTTAGTTCACCCAAAAATGAAAATTCTGTCATTAATTACTCACCCTCATGTCGTTCCAAACCCTTCATTCACCTTCGTAACACAAATTAAGATATTTTTGGTGAAATCCGAGAGCTTTCCATCTACCGCCATTATCAAAAGTAACACGACGCATGCACGTGATGCTGCTGACGTAGAACACGCATGCGCTGCGCATTGTTTACGAGCAGAGGAAACCACGTGCATGTGTTGTGGTGCTCCCGATAATGGCTGTAGATGGTAACTCGGGGGAGAAGAATTGTTAAATAAAGTCGTTATTTTAGTTTTTTTGCACACAAAAAGTATTATCATAGCTTCATAAAATTACGGTTGAACCACTGATGTCACATGGACTATTTTGTTGATGTACCTTTTTGGGCCTTGAACGTGGTAGTTACCTTGCTGTCAATGTAGGGTCAGAAAGCTCTCGGATTTCATCAAAAATAGCTTAATTTGTTTTCCGAAGATGAGCGAAGGTCTTAAGGGTTTGGAACGACTTGAGGGTGAGTAATTAATGACAACCTTTTCATTTTTGGGTTAACTATCCCTTTAAGAGAGACATACAAAATGTGCAGAGCAGTGGTACCCCAGGACTGGAATTCAGAAGGACTGCCGTAGGTCATCTGGGTATTCCATGTATAACAGTACACATAATGCATTCAAGAGAAATAGCATGCACAGTATAGTAGCAAAACAAAGTGTTTCATTAAGAGTTAATAACTACAGATATAATAAATGATAGTTGGCCTTCCCCTGCACGCACAAACAATTGCAACAATTGTAGTATAGTAGCTACAACCACACCATGTAGCCAGATTAGAATGCAAATGTTGCAATCTTTGGCTAATATAATAATGATTACATTTCTTCAAAAATGTGTAAGTGGGTCAAACCGTTGGGCTCAATCAAATAACACCGGCTAACTCTAACACATTTAAGAGCAAAAACGGTCGGATGTCATAAAAGTTTATTGTAACGTCTGACTGAAGTTTGCAAACATGGTACACGACGCATGCACGTATGCATGACCGTTTGCGTGCAACCATAACTTCAGCAGCAAAAGCAACAACAACACAGCACTGAGCATTACATGAAGGATGTTGCTTTAATGACATTCATAAGAATGTCAAGAAGGGATCTTTTTGCTTCGGGGTAAATGTAGGCTAAGGTGATGTTTATAAATGCCTCCACATCCGCTTGAAAACGCATGTGGAACATTAATCAAGCGCTGTGACATTTCATGTAGTTTAGAAACACAGCAGCTATCGGAGCGACACCGAGTTGCACTTGGCTCTTGCACACGGATACATTTCACAGCAAAGCAGTGCCGTTTTACTTCACACAGACGTAACACACAGGAAATAATGACTCACCTCGAAGCTGCAGCACAGTCTGTGTGTATGTCCTTTATTAGATATCCCTGTAATACCAGCGTTTGCTCCTGTGCTCGGACAGACGTGGCCTGAAATGACCCAGCAGAGCAGAGCAACTCCAACATGGACCCGAGACTCAGAGAACCGTGCAGCTCTCTCATCTGATCGCTGTGGGGACTCAGAGAGCACTTGACGTCTGGCCAAAGAGGTTTTAACCCTTTACAGGGGCCCAGAAACTATAAAAGCACACTTAAAATGAAGAAATGCCATTGTATTAGATATAATAGGGTGAATCTCACGAAAACGAAACATGTCTGGTCATATTTCACCCAAAGGAAAGAAATACGAAATGATATTCTGCACCAAGAAAATATGGTTTGTGCACTGTGACTTTTATTTTATGGCCACAGTGGCCTCAATCCTCATTACACTAATGTGAAAAAATGATGTATTATTATTTATGCTGATTTCAATAAAATAATATAAATTTTCCTTTATTATAAGAATAATGCGATGATTATAATGAAATGTATCTGGGCAGGTGTGTAATAGGGTGGTGTGGTCTAGTCTGATGATGAGCTACTATTGATCCGTGATCTATTAGCAAGATAAAGATCGTGACACAGAAACACTAAACCTAAACTGAACTTAAGTGTTCTCACTGTAATTCACTTTGCTATCTGGATAATGTGCAGTACATTCAGCTGGTCCTTAACTCCGAATAAACTCCTTTAGGATGACTGGTGACCCGATCAACCTGTCAGGGTTTATTCTGTAATAACGGCCGTCTGACTGTACATTATCCCTTGAATACAGTACAGCAGCCACTTTACACTGCCCAGTGGCTATAGCCATATTCACAATGAAATAGTACTCAATCAGTTCTGTGCATTAGTATATGTAATGTATAAATTAATTCAAATAATGCATTAATGTAAGCAAATTAGTGATTTTCTTGCTACAATTGAAGCAATAGATGCTCTTTGGGTTGTTCTCAAAACTTTCATTATGATAAAAAATACTAAGTCATTTGTGTCTATTGTTCAACTTTTTACTCAAATTGTTGTGATTAAAAATAAATAAATACAATTTGTAGTAGAAAAATGCATTAAAGTAGACAATTTTGACTTTTGGGCCTAATTGTTATCCGTTTTGTTTTGTCTGTGTATAAAGCTTACTGTATCCACTGTTGGTGTACATTTTATTTGTTTTCTTTTTTATGCATATTTTGCATTTCAATTGTTTTGCATTCTGTATTGATACTGATGTGTATTGTGTACACTGGTATTCCTACTAATGTCGTTGTTCTTTTTATATGTACTGGAAGTATGACCTTGATACAAAACAAATTTCTCCCAAAGCAATGAATTTTGAGGAACAGTACGTTCATCTGTAAATATACAGTATATGGAGTATGTTTTTATTAGTGATGATCTGCCACAGAAGAACGCATTATGACAGCATTCCATGTTCACATAGAAGACCAAAAGAAGAGATTAAATAAAACAGTTTCTCAAAGCAGCTGGTTACAAGGCCTTTGAACCTTGGACCTGATTCAAGTTTATAAACTCCATCGTCACATGATATCGCAACAAAAATCTAACTTGGCACTTTACACGAAAATAGTACATTCTGATGTCCTCTGAGGATCACAAATCCTGTCTTTTTGTTGTTGTTGTTTTTCAATAAAATATTATGTAACATAAAGTTAGCATAACGTACAGTAGTTATGCTACAAAACAAATTAGCTATGGTTTTAAACTGAAAATGTCTGCATTATATGCACTTAAAATGGTGATTTTGGTCTCCAACAATTAAAATGCCATAATTTTGAGATAATCTATTGAATTGATATTCATTTTGTAGAAATAAAAATACTAACTTATTTTAATTACAAGAAACATATGCAGTGTTTGACATTTTGGACGAATGCACTATTACAAGAATTTGCTATTGCTTCAAATAATATAAATAATAAAAATTGAGCAATAGCTACAAATCAAAATTTGGTTGCAAATTAGCTAGCCCCTACTGAGTGACAGATGAAAGTTAAATTTGCCCTGAAACTCTACTCATTCTAGCAGATTTGGAATAAATGCCACTCCACACCTTTTGCATACATATTTCTCAGCAGATCACTTTTATTTTGCATGAATGCTACAAGACTGAAAAACCTTATTTCTACAGTTCAAGCAGATCCATTGGCAGGACCTTTGTTTGGCATGTCTTCACTTTGATATGTTTGATTTGGTGGAGCTCCAGGTATGTCACAGTGTGTTAACAGCTGAATTAATGTGTGCAATAACAAAGAAAGGGGATACTACACATACTTTGTTAAGAAAACAACAAATTTCGTTTCAAAGGGCATTACAACATTGTACACTTCCAGACTATTGAACTTGTTTCTCATGATTTACATTTTTTTAGATTTTGCTTCTGCTTAATTGGTAGACAAACTACACAATTTCACCAACATATAAATTTCTATACAAAACTAAAATTTACTTTTAAAAATGTCATAACAACAACAACAACAACAACAACACGAAACATAGTTTTTTTTTTTAAGTATCCTACTATTATGAAGTTGTGAAGTTACGAAGTTGGTTAAGAGCATCCAGAGTGAGAAGAGCTGGAATCAGGTGATTGCCATGGTCCCCGTTTCATAGTCTTGAAGACTTTAATATGATTCTAATATGTGTGAAACATCACTAATACAGAATCAATATTTCTGTCCAAACCTTTATGCCAAATTATTTTCCTATTATCAGGTAAATATATCGTTTTTATATTATATGGCTTCATTTTTACAACGAGTTTGAGTTTTGTGGTCAAATTGACTATATGGGTGCCTTTGTCAATATTGCTGTATAAAGGGACCTGCTCACATGAAAAGCAGGGGACCATTAGCACATTACTGGATTCATAGCAGAGAAAAACTTTAGCTGTGAGCTCAGCTCAAGGAAATTGAGCAAGAAAATTGTGTAGAGCGTGCATTGTCTTTTTAAAAATTTTGCATAATTAATCAGATTTGGTTAGATTAAAAATATCTTTTTCTTACCTCTGCTGTGTGAAACAAGCTAATGCAGATTATGCATGTGCACATAATGTACCCTAATTAACCTCAACCTCGCACAACCTCTACTGGTAAAATAAATAAATAGATTGATATTATATATTATAAAATATGTATATATTTAGGCCAAAACCTGGAAACAAATTAGCATTTTAGCACTTCCAATTCCACCATCCCAAAGTCAATTGGTTTGTTTTAATGGGTCTTTAGCTAAAGGGTTAGTTCACCCAAAAATGAAAATTAGGCTGCGTTTTAGGCCCCAGGGTGTTGCATTTCAGTCCAAAAGAAGTTAAATAAAAAGCGCCCATCCATAAAAAAAAAAGTGTCTCACACGGCTCTGGGGGGTGAACAAAGGCCTCCTGTTATATCCATATTCAAAATGTAATAATCACTTTAATCTAGCTTGCGCTCACTGTTGTAAACAGAAGCAGCTCCGGGCGGATGACATGGGACGTCGGCGTTGCGCATGCGGCGCTCAGAAATGATGAATGCGGAAGCGCAGGGGCGAGATCAAAACAAAACAATGGTCATGAACTCGAAGTACAAAACGAGGATTTGTAAAGAAGAATGTCGGAGGATTTCGATATAAGCCAAGAAGAGACTGGTTTTCCTTTGCTAAAGTAAGGAAACTTTGCTTCCTTTGCTCCTGTAAACAAACGTTGGTTTTCACGAGACTCACCGGCGCATGCGCAACGCTGACCTCATACGTCATCCGCCCGGAGCTGCTTCCGTGTACAACTGCTGGCGCAAGCTACATTAAAGTGATTATTATGTTTTGCATATGGATATTTTTCTTACAAAAACGCATCGATTCCTTTTTTTTCACCTTTCGCCTTTGTTCACCCCCCGGAGCCGTGTGAGACACTTTTTTTATGCATGGGCGCTTTTTATTTAACTTCTTTTGGACTGAAGCAATGCAACACCCGCTGACTGCAATGATAGAGCTTGAAAGATCAAAGACAATATTTAATATAACTCTGACTGGATTCGTCTGAAAGAAGAAAGTCATATACACCTAGGATGCCTTGGGGTGAGTAAAACGCAGCCGAATTAAATTTTTGGGTGAACTAACCCTTTAAATACCTGAAATAAGGTCTGTGGTGAACACAAGCTCAAGATATTTTCATGTTTTATCCCACGGCATAAAATACATCAGTAATATTTCCTTGTGATTTAAAAAAAAAAGTTTTTACTTGAAAAAAAGAAACTGCTGACAAGTGGCTAAACGGGACTACAGAGGTTGTCAAGGACATTAAATGTGAGTAACCAAATGTGGGTTTCTGGTCCCACTTTTTTTTTGGGGGGGGGGGGGGGGGGGGTCAATGGGAACCAGCAACTGTTTGGTTACACACATGCTTCAAAACATCTCAGCCTATTCTCAGCCTAGTTGTGTTTTAAATCACACATCTGCAAAATAATTTAAGACTGAAATATGACTTCTGGCAGACTTCAAAATTCTGTTCATTTATGAAGATTATCATGATAAAATGTGTAAGAATCATAAACTTTTGCTGGTCGCAGTGCTTATTTTCTGCAATAATTCAAAAGATCATGGAAAAATCCTGTGGTGTTTTTTTTTTGAGAGGAAAAGCTAACTTCCGGGACAGCCTTTAAAAAAGTGTCATTACTACAGCACACTTCACTTTTAACTATAGCACCTACTGCAAAGTATCAATTGTCATAACATAATGAAAATGAGCTTTCACTAGGTATTATAAACCTTTTCTGTCCATTCCAGTCACTTCATCACAGCCCATGCTTAAAGATAATGGTAGTAAAGTGAGTACAATGAACTGAAGGACTTCAGTTTACATGAAATGTGTACTGTGTAATGCCAGAAGACCTGCCAGAAACTGTGCAAATGAAAAGGATTGCAGCTCTCTTTATGCAGTGCTAACTGGCCATCAAAGGTTCATAGAGTCTAACAGCAGGGCGCTGGGTGTGTAGTTTCATCAGAGTCGACAGCGGTTTAACTACATTTCAGCATTATGCAGTTGGTCATTTCTGTAGCCACAGTCTGCTAGGGGAAAAGGTCATGACTCCAGCTTTTCTACAGTCTTTTCTAGTGCTGAGAAATATGCTATGTGAA